AAGAAACATGTAACACCCAATTGAAAAACAGGCAAGAAACCCAAATAGATATTTTAAGAAAAAGGAAATGCACATGGCCAATAAGGATTAAAAGAGCTGAATCTTATGAGTGACTGGAGGAATGAATATTCCTCCAAAAGAAATACCATTTTACATCCACTAGAATGGCAAAACTATAAAATCTGATTACACTGAGTGATAATGAATATATGTAACAAAGGGAACTCATCCAGTGGGTGGGAGTATAATTGTAAAACAATTATTTGGTTTAACTGAAAATCACCTAGCAATTTCCCTCCTAGATATTGTGCTCTGTAGAAACTCCAGCAGGTATGCAAGAGATTTGAATATTCACAATAACATTGTTCATATAAGCCTTTTTTCTGGAAACACCCAAGATATCCATGACAAGAAAGTCAATGAATAAACTGTGAAACAGTGTCACCATGGAGTATTAACACAGTAGTGAAAATGAACATTATTATGTGTAATAATACAGATTCCCTCAGCAGCATAATGTTGAGTTTAAAAAAACTGTCAGAATACTCTTATGGGACAATTTTTTGTAATGACAAACGTGAATGAAACTAAGCCATGTTCAACGACACATTTTCATGTGGTAATAAAACTTAGAAAATGAGGGAGGACAAATGATTTACATAAATTTAGGTTAATTTTCTTATATCCCTGAATGGGGAAGGGTGAGGGACCAGGTGGGGATCAGATGGAGGGCCTGCCTGAGGAGATTCAGTGAATGTTGGTAAAGCTTTACTTCATAAATTAGGTGGTATGTTCGTGGTGTTTCATAATTTACATACTATTCTGCAATTTTCTCTTTTTTTTGACAAGGGGTCTCACTCTGTCCCCTCAGGTGATCTGTCTGCCTTGGCCTCCCAAAGTGCTGGTATTACTGGCATGAGCCATGACGCCACCTGGCCCAATTTTTTTTTTTTTTTTTTTTTTTTAATTTGAGACGAAGTTTCACCCTTGTCGCCTAGGCTGGAGTGCAGTGGTGCGATCTCAGCTAAAGCAAGCTCTGCCTCCCAGGTTCAAGGGATTCTCCTGCCTCAGCCTCCCGACTAGCTGGGACTACGGGCACCCAACAACAAACCTAATTTTTTTTTTTTCAGTAGAGACAGGGTTTCACCTTGTTGGTCAGGCTGGTCTTGACCTCCTGACCTCAGGTGATCTCCCTGCTTCAGCCTCCCAAAGTGCTGGGATTACAGGGGTGAGCCATTGCGCCTGGCCTGTTTTTATTATTATTATTTTAAAATAAATATCATTATGTTCTTTCTTAACTTTTGGCGCCCCAAATAAATGAGGAAACTGTTAAAATTTTATTCAACAACCTTTGTTCGATATCTCCTTTGATATTTGAATTTTTACCACTGTATTACCAGTTATATTTAAATTTTTACAAGAGATGTGCAAGACGTGGTCTTGCTTACTTTCAACCTCTGCCTCCCAGGTTCAAGTGATTCTCGGGCCTCAGCTTCCCCAGTAGCTGGGACGACAGGTGCCCGCCACCACGCCCGGCTAATTTTTGTATTTTTAGTAGAGACGGGGTTTCACCATGTTGGCAGGGCTGGTCTCGAACTGCTGACTTCAGGTGATCCACCTACCTTGGCCTCCCAAAGTGCTGGGATTACAGGCGTGAGCCACTGCACCCAGCCGCAATTTTCAAGATTATAAACATTGAAAACTTAAAAACTGGAAGGCACCAGGCCTCAAGTGTATTCGAGCCGGCTGTGGCGGCCAAAACATCACCGGCAAGCGACTTTGGCGCGCAATCGCCTCTTGGGGGTGGAGCCTCGCCCTCCAGTTTACGCCTGCGCGCTGCGTCCAGCCAATCAGCGACGTGTCCAGCTGAGGCGAGACCGCCTTTTCTTCAGCGCGCATCTCAGCTTGCCTCAGAAGCGTCGCGGCTAAGGGGTACTTCGGGTGAGGTGTGCGTGTGGAGGAGTTGTGGGGGAAGCCTGTCAAAGAGACCGGTAACTGGTCCGGCCATTGTGGTGTTTCAGTTGTGAGCAGGGGAGGGGTTTGACCATCGCAGGTGTCCAGGCCAGAGGCTGCCCTTGACCAGTGAGGTAAATCTTACCTCTTGGCGTTGTCTGGGGACTCTGACGACGAAAAGGAGGCCGCGAACCTCACTGAGGGCCTTGAGGGAAGAGGGGCGGGGGGAAAGCAGGCGGGCTGGGCTGGGGCTGGGCCCTGTCCCTACACCCTGGGACCGCCGGCAGCGGGGCCAGGCGGGGCCCTACCTCGGCGCCAGTCTCCCTCCTGCCCGCTCCACACCGAGGGCGCCTTTCGTGGTTCCCGAATACGTTTGTTGTCGAAATCTTTTGCCGACGTTCATTTTCCAAGACTCAAATTGCAGGACGTTTTTCTTGTGTATTTGTCTTGATATTAGGAGCTTATTTCAGGCATCCTCAGGGCGTGTCCCTCCAGCAACCACGGTTTCCCCGTGTGGCTGAGCGGCCTGCCAGAGCTGCCCGGATTTAGCCAGAATCTGGCCAAGTCTCCCGGGCCGCAGGGACCACCTCTCCAGCACAGCGCGCTTGAAGTCGGGGTCGCGGGTGTCGTGCTCTCTCTCTCTCATTCGTTTTTAATTTAATTTTATTTTACTTTATTTGGTTTTTGAGACGGAGTTTCGCTCTGTTGCCAGGTTGGAGTGCAATGGGGCGATCTCAGCTCACTGCCACCTCTGCCGCCTCCGGGGTTCAAGCAGTTCTCCTGCGTCAGCTTCCGGAGTAGCTGGGATTACAGGCTACTGCCACCACGCCCGGCTAATTTTGTATTTTTAGTAGAGATGGGGTTTCTCCATGTTGGTTAGGCTGGTCTCACTCCTGACATCGTGAGCCATCACACCGGCCTTTTTTTTTTTCTCTTTGAGACTTAAGTTTCACTCTTGTTGCCCAGGCATGAGTGCAGTGGCTGGATCATGGCTCACTGCAACCTCTACCTCCCAGGTTCAAGCGATTCTCCTGCCTCAGCCTCCTGACTAGCTGGGACTACACACTGGCACCACCATGCCCGATTAATTTTGTTTTTTGTGTTTTTCAGTAGAGACTGGGTTTCACCATGTTGGCCAGGCTGATCTTGAACTCCTGACCTCAGGTGATCTCCTTGCCTTGGCCTCCCAAACTGCTGGGATTACAGATGTGAGCTACCGCGCCCGGCCTATTTATTTTTTATTTTTTAACAAGTGTCATTATCTTTTGTAATTTTGGGCCCCTCAAATAAATGAGGAAATTAAAAATTTTATTCAACAATTCTTGTTCTTCATCTCCTTTAATATTAAAGTTTACCAGTGTATTAAAATGATGCCTTTGGATTCAGCAAGTTCAAGACATTTGTTTTTTAAAGTCAGGAAGCAGCTAGATATGGTGTCCTCCAGAAAAAAGTATTCCAGGAAATCTGGGAAGCCATCCATGGAAGATCAGTTTACCAGAGCCTATGACTTTGAGACTGAAGATAAGAAAGATCTGAGTGGTTCTGAGGAAGATGCTATTGAAGGTGCAGTACATCTCATGTTGACCAGTGATGTCTTCCAGTTCATTTGCTTTGAACCCATTAAAGACTATCCTACAACTTAAGTTTGTAAAGCAAACTAAGGTGTAGTCTTCCCTCCCCCCGGTATTTGTGGTTTCAGAACCTGCTGACACAGATGGCCACTGTACTTTGCCTTTCTCATTCGATCCTTATACTGCAGTATTGGAATTACAGAAGCTTGTGTGGCAACTCTTGCTTTTGCAGTTATTTCAAAATATTTGACATATAGTATGTGGCTTACGATGACATTAACCCAGGCAGACTTCAAAAATTGTTCCTATAAAATAAACCTAAATCCTGATTTAATTTCTTTTTTTGTTTGTTTAAAGATGGGCTTTCACCATGATGACCAGGCTGGTCTTGAACTCCTGACCTCAGGTGATCCACCCACCTCGGCCTCCCAGAGTGCTAGGATTACAGGCGTGAGCCACCGCACCCGGCCCTGATTTAAATTTCATCTAACCTGCCAAGAATGTTGCATTTGTATGTCTGCTTTGAAGCATAAAAATCCCCAAATGAAGATGTTTCATTAAAATGTACTAACATAGCCTATTCAGTTTCAAAAGGTTTTTTTTTTTTTTTTTAATTGTCAATACAGGGAAGACTACGGTCATTGAGAAACGTAGGAAGAAAAGATCTTCTGCCGGAGTAGTTGAAGATATGGGGTAACATGTTCAAAATAATTTTTGTTTCTTAAATAAAGCACTTCAATAAAAGTTTACTTTGGCTGTCTAACAAGTAATATATGTAAAATATCTGGGATCTGATATTTCATCCAAAACAAGCATGGCATTTGGTGGATCTTTAACTTAATGTTTTTAAAATGTAATTTCTTTACAGGGGTGAAGTACAGAATATGCTGGAAGGAGTTGGAGGTATGTTTAAGGAGATACTTGTATTTAAAGAAAATTGTTTTAAACCATATAATTTGTTTAATAGGAAATGTTAATAATGTACTGTAAGATTGTTATTTAAGCCTTGTTCTCACATAAAGGATTCTGCATAAGCATTTGTGATTTAGCATCACAGATTTTCATACTTAATTTTTTCAATGATGTTAAGAGTAAATGGTGCTTTTATTTTATACATATGTGAATTTAATGGGTTATGGAATCTTAGGACAAAAATGGACAGGAAAGTCTTTACTCTCCTTTGTATTCACAGACTAAGTGATACATATACATGTATACATATATTTGTGTATATGTATCAGTTTTTCATTTTTTCAGTTTAGTTATTTTCTGACTTTTCCTGTGTTCTTTAGGGAGAACAGTATAAATTGAAGCCTCTAAAATAACTTTTTACACTTGATCTTAGCCAAAAGGCCGAGAAGCGATAAAATAACTTTTTACATTAATAATAAACTATATAGTTGGTACTAAAGACAATTTTGCTAGATAGTGAGAGTTTTATAATTGGGTTCAAAAATTCCCAAGTTTTAAATATTAAATTAAAATCAGTATAAATTATATACTGATTTTATAAAAATTTATAAAAATATAAATTAAATATCAGTAATATGAGCTTTGCTAGGGATTAGTTATCTTAAAAAAGCTAATATTTAGCTCCTCTAAATGAATTATTCATACAATCAAATCTTTTTTGAAAGATTTGCTCTATCTGGTGGTGAAAAAGTGCTTTTTTATACGTTTATTATAGATAATACTGAAAGTATAAAATATTTATGTAATAGTACAGCTCCATCATGATTACTGAAAGATACCTATTTATGGTAGATCCATAAGATAAAAGCTTATGTTTAGCAAAGCATTCTTTGAAGTAGTCAACATTTTATGAAATGCAGTTCTTGTGGGTAAAAATGCCCAATAAAGAGCTCCACAAAAGCATTTAAAAGTGATCTTATTCACCTATTTCTCATTGAAAAAATAAAGTGATATTGAGTTAATTTATCTAGAAATTTACTTAAAGATTTTTCTGTCCTTGGTCTTTGTCTCTTTTAGTAAAAAATATATTTAAAAGTATCACTGATGGCCAGGCACAGGTGCTCACACCTGTAATTCTAGCACTTTGGAAGGCCAAGGCAGGGAGTTGAGGCCAGGAGTTCAAGACCAGCTTGGTCAACATAGTGAGACCCCCTCTATATCTTAAATATAAAGATATAATTGATTGTATTAAAAATAGTTTTCTTGTTCTTTAACTTTTATCCTTTATGGATTCTGTTTTTTAATAGAGTACTTTTGCATATTTTCTGTAATGAGTTCTATCAATAATTCATTGAAATGTGTCCTTTGAGTTGGGGCATATTTTATAAATTTAGATAAAATTAGCTTTTTTTTTTTGAGACAGAGTCTCTGTTGCCAGGCTGGAGTGCAGTGGCACAATCTTGGCTCATTGCAACCTCTGCCTCCCAGGTTCAAGCAAGTCTCCTGCCTCAGCCTCTTGAGTAGCTGGGACTACAGATGCATGGCACCACACCCAGCTAATTTTTGTATTTTTAGTAGAGACGGGGTTTCGCCATATTGGCCAGGATGGTCTCGATCTCTTGACCTCGTGATCTGCCCACCTCAGCCTCCCAAAGTGCTGGGATTACAGCAGTGAGCCACCCTGCCTGGCCTAAATTTAGTCTTTATTAACAGTGTTTTCTCATGAGGAAATTAAAGTCTGCTCTTGACACATTGTTTTGTTTATTAGCTCATTTTTACTGTTCCCAAGTTAAATTATCTCCAGTTTGGAAAATCAGAATTTGGGTACTACTGATGAGAGTTTTCTCAGGAAAAAAAAAAAAAAAAAAGTAAGCAAATAATTCTGCATTTTGAAATTATGCTTATTTCTAAATTTAAGTTTAAATGTCTTTCTAATATTGTTGAACCAATCTTACCCATATTTACTTGAATATGTGGGAACAAAATACTTTTTTCAACATTAAATTTTAGTGAATTTTTATTTTCAATCTAGTTGACATTAACAAGGCTCTTCTTGCCAAGAGAAAGAGACTAGAAATGTATACCAAGGCTTCTCTCAAAACTAGCAACCAGAAAATCGAACATGTTTGGAAAACACAACAAGATCAAAGGTAAGGTGGTTGCTTTTTTTTTTTTAAGAGCTACATTTCTTAGTATTTATTGGTATAAATTACTTATGAAAAATATAATTCTAGGCCAGGCACAGTGGCTCATGCCTGTAATCCCAGCACTTTGGGAGGCCAAGGTGGGCAGATCACTTGAGGTCAGGAGTTCAAGACCAGCCTGGCCAACATGGTGAAACCCCATCTCTACTAAAAATGCAAAAATTAACCAGGTGTGCTTGCTTGAACCCAGGAGGCAGAGGTTACAGTGAGCTGAGATCATGCTGGTGCACTCCAGCCTGGGCAACAGAGTGAGACTCTGTCTACAAAAAAAAAAAAAAGAAAAATTCTATTCTAGTTATTGGGGTTTCTAATGAAAATGCATTTGTCTTGATTTTTCTCTAAGTATGATAGTCCTTTAGCCCTATAACCTCACTTCTTCATAGAATTGACATATATTTCCTAAAAAATCTGGAAAGATCACTTTTTTTCCTTTTGGTTAAGAATTGAAGTTATAAAAGTAATTTCTTTCTTTTTTTCTTTTTTTTTTTTTTGAGATGAGGTCTCACTGTGTTGCCCAGGCTGGTCTTAAACTCTTAGGCTCAAGCAATCCTCCCACTTCAGGGCCCCAAAGTGTTGGGATTACAGGCATGAGCCACCACGCCCAGCCTAAAAGTAATTTATATTCATTCTAGGAATACACTAGTTGAATAAAAGGTAAATGTCATAAAAACCATTAGTCTTATGATGGTGAATTATGTTCAACAACGTAGAAAAACACCAGCCTTATACTGTATATAATTTGTATGTTTTAGCTGACTTAACTCTTGTACAAAATCTTTGTTAAGCCAAAACAGGGAAAAAACTAAGAGAAATATTTCTATTTAGAAATCTTATAGGTAAATACAATCATTTTATTTAATCTATTTGTTTTATCAGAACGTATATTCATTAGGAAAAAAAGGAAAAATAAACTGGAGATAAGATAAATTTCTTTTTGAAAATTTATGTATACAATAAAACTTAGTTTTCAAGAGCTAAAGCTTGTGACAGGGCTTTTCTTCTATTAGCTTGTTAGAAAAAAATACTTCTGGAATCGGTGTAAATCATAACTTCACTTCTTGGTTTCCCATCAGAAGACTTAAGCTGCAGATATTTCCTTCTTTTATGTAGTAAAAATGGGTCAACTTGGTTTTGTTTTAAATTCTTTTTATATTGGTATGAAATATAATAATAATTAATTATTATGTTTTACAGGCAGAAACTTAACCAAGAATATTCTCAGCAGTTTCTGACTTTGTTTCAGCAGTGGGATTTAGATATGCAGAAAGCTGAGGAACAAGAAGAAAAAATACTCGTTGGTATCATGATTAGATTTACAATTAATCTGTTATAACCAAGTCTCAAATAGGAATGGAGAACCTAGCCTTTTACTATGACCAGTGGAACTGAGCCAGGTTTCATTAACCATTGTTGGCCATGTGTTTTAGTCTTGCTGAACTGTAAACCACGGAAGTAGAGGCACATACCATAACTCATAAAAGTCATTGGTCTTTGCTTCTTATATTGGTTGGGATTCTTGCATTTCCAAGTGACAGAAATTTGTCAGCGTACAAAAGAAGGATTATAGGTTTATATAAAAGAAGTTGGGACAGTTTAGCTTCAGGCACAGGTGGATGGGAACAGGGAAGGGGTTGCTCATGTAGTGTCATCTGGGTTCTGTCATCAGTTTTCAGTAAGGTGTCTCGATGTAGTAAGCAAGATAGTTTTTACAGTCCTAGGCTTATTACAAGTTTAGTAACCCCAGTGGACTGAGAAAATCTTTCTCAATACCTCTGGCAGAAAATTCCTCTGGAAAAATATGACTGACGTAATTTGAATCATTTGCCTATTGAACCAGTCATTGTATAGTTAGCGCTCTGTATGTGTAGGTTCCATATCTGTGTATTCAACCAATTGTAGATGAAAAATATTTGGAAGAGGCCAGGTGTGGTGGCTCATGCCTGTAATCCCAGCACTTTGGGAGGCCGAGGTGGGTGGATCACCTGAGGTTGGGAGTTCGAGACTAGGCTGACCAATATGCTGAAACCCTGTCTCTACGAAAAACAAAAATTAGCCAGCTGTGGTGGTGCATGCCTGTAATCCCAGTTAGGAGGCTGAGGTGGGAGAATAGCTTGAACCCGGGAGGCGAAGGTTGCAGTGAGCTGAGTTGGTGCCACTGCACTCCAGCCAGACACTTTCTAAAAAAAAAAAAAGAAGACAATAAAAAATACAAACTGGAAAAGTAATCCAGTGTAACAACTATACAGCATTTTCATTGTGTTAGGTATTATAAGAGATCTAGAAATGATTTAAAGTATGTGGAAGGATGTGTATTGGTTATATGCAAACATGATGCATTTTATATTAGGAACTCAAGCATGTGCAGATTCTGGTCTGAGGGGTTGAGTGTCCTGGAACTGGTTCCCCCAGGATACCAAGGGACATCTGTAGTCAGAACATTGTTGACTTAATGGCCGGATTTGTTACCTGCCAGTAAGGAAACTGGGGTAGGGGTGATAGGAAAGTAGACAGGATGGATTTATGGTACAGATATATTATTGAACTGTAGTACTAAAGAGAGTAAGTTAGAATGGTAAAGAACTAGTGGTTAAATACTAGGACATAGAGAAACAGTATGTATAATGGTTAGATCCTAGATGCCAAAAACAATACTGTTTGGGATCAAATTCTTGTTTGAGCAATTGTAGCTGTGAAGCCATGGACAGATTATGCCTCAGTTAACTCATCTATGAAAGGGGAATGATGAGTATCTATCTCTTAAAAAGTTTACCATTATTAATACTGTGTAGTGGTTAGAGTTATTGGTAATGACAAAATCTGGGGTAGGAGTATGTAAGTCAATGGCTAAAGTAGGGTGGAGGACAAAATCATTGGGAAGCAGGTCAAAGAACTGAGAGACCATTATTATTGGAAGGATCATCTGTGTGGACATTGAAATCACCAAGAATGTCTTGATTATTGTTAAAATTTCCCTTTCAGCAACTGGTAGGATTAATATATTGTTGCATATCAGTGGTGAACACAAATTATCTAAACATGGTCATAATAGTTGTTAAAATTTTAAAAGCTCTGATTTTTAAAAGTTTCTTTTAAGTTTAATGTAGAATTACTTTTTCTAAATTTAAAACTTTACCCAAATTGTTACTACACAGTTTTTTTCTTTTATATTTGTAGAATATGTTTCGACAGCAACAAAAGATTCTTCAACAATCTAGAATTGTTCAGAGCCAGAGACTGAAAACAATTAGACAGTTATATGAGCAGTTCATAAAGGTTTGTTGTATGTGGCAACACAATACATTGTTATAAAACATATTTATGGATGTAAAAGATAATTATTTCTAAGTTTATGGAAAAATTGTTTTAGATTTTTAACTGCTTTTCCATTTTGAATTCATTGTTTCTGATTTAAGTGATACATATATTTTTACTTTAGGATTCAGATGGTTTTGTTGGGATTGTTCAAGACAGGAAATGGTAAATTGGGAATTTTACTTAGAAATGTACTTATAATGCATAAAATTCATATTTTAGTAACACTTTAGTCATAGTTCTCTGTTTAACTGTAAATAGAGTCTATAGTAATCATTTTTAGGTTGCGTTTTACTTGTTATTGTATCCCCAGCATTTGTTAAATAGAAAGTACCCAAATTATTGAAGTCTCTTGTTTTCAAATGTATTATAGAAGTATTTTATGGCATATTTGCTTTTAGAATTATTACAGGGACCAAAAATGAATTTACATACCAACATAAAATAATCGATATAATATACATCTGAGGATTAAAAGCCTGGATTGATAATTATCTACTGACACATACATATTGGCAAATTGTAGTCTGTAACCCTCTTGTTTGGGCAGAAGTATACTTTTTAGTAACTATTCACAGAAGCTCAATGGAATCTTGCATAAACTTTTTTTCAGTGGTGGTTCCTTTAATACTCTTGTTCAAATACATGTTAAAATGACATTAAAGGAATTGGGACATTCTGAGTAAACTAGTCAAATTGTTTTAAAATAAATATTTCAAAATAATATATATGGCCAAGCACAGTGGCTCACACTTTGGGAGGCCAAGGTGGAAGCATCACTTGAGCCCAGGAATTCAAGGCCAGCCTGAGCAACATGACAAAACCCTATCTCTATTTAAAAACCAAACAAATGAAAAAAATAGCTGGGCATGGTGGCACTCACTTGTAGTCCCAGCTACTTGGGAGGCTAAGGTGGGAGGATTGCTTGAGCCCTTGAGGCAAAGGTTGCAGTGAGCCGAAATCCTACAGCCTGGGCAACAGCAAGACCCTGTCTCAAAAAAAAAAAAAAAAAAAAAAAAAAAAAAAAAAAAAAAAAAAAAAAAAAAAAAAAAATTATACACACACACACACGTTATTTTAAAAAGTATTTCCAAATGGAAAACTTGATGGCTTGCTGTAATGCCAACAAGTATAAAAAAAGTATATTGAACCATTTGGTAATTGGTGCAAAGTTTTGATAAAGTACTAGATAAAGGTTTCTTCTAAATGTTATCACTAAATGTTACTATTTAGGGTAGAAACTATAGTATAACCTTTAATTCCTCCATCTCCTTTCTCTGTTACATCCAGTTATTACTAGGCCCTGTAATTTTTACCTCTGCAGTGGTTCTTTTAATTCCCACTGCTACTACCCTAGTTTAGAACTTCATTATTATTTGCTCGTACCATTAAAATTCTTAACTGATTTCTCTATTCTCCAATCTATCCTTCCTAGATCTGTTATATTATCTTTTAAAACTGTGTCTCTTCCTTCTTGAAAACTGTCAGTAGCCTCCCATTCTAAGTTCAAGATCCCCCTATGACATGACCCTCTTTTTAAGTTTCATTTACTACATTTATCCATTACCCTACCTCTCCATATAATTGCTTTCCTTCAACTCACTTCCATGCTTCTGCCCTTCCCCTAGAATATTTTTAACTCCTTATTCTCTATTGAAATCTTAGTGTTTTGCCAACTGAATTGGAATTAATCACCATTTTCCACTATATAGCCACAAGTTGTGTTTCTATTCCTATTATAAAATTTTTGTTTTGTTCCTATGTTTTTTTCTTGTTATCAGGAAGCAGTCATGTATTATTATTTTTAATTTCTGCACAGCACTTAATATAGCGCCTTTTATATAGTAGGCACTAGATTAACTATTTGTTGAATGAATAATAAAGATGTAAAACATAATTTTTATTTTTTACAACTTGAAAGAGGTAGTACTACAAATTATTTTATTCCCTCTAGTGAATTAATGGCACACTGTTAGTCATAAGTACATTATTACTTGATATTTGGAAAGCTTAATAGCAATGGTGTTTACTGATATGGGACTTCCAGTCTTTTTTATCTTGACCTTAACAGTTCATGAAACCCATTTTGGGCAAAATATACTATATTGTACTTCTCATAATATTTTATTCACGACTGATTTTTTTTTTTTCCTTTATAGTAGGTATTTTGGTATTCATGTGTTAGAATATTTTTTATTTCAAATAAGTAATAAGCATTTGAACATTTTTAAATTACTACTTTTGAAAATTAATTGGACAAGTTTAGAACCTGAGATAAAAAGTGGTTCTTTGTAGCTTAACTAGTCTTTTGTGATTTTAGAGTATGGAAGAGTTGGAGAAGAATCATGATAATCTACTTACTGGTGCACAAAATGAATTTAAAAAAGAAATGGCTATGTTGCAGAAAAAAATTATGATGGAAACTGTAAGTGATCATATTGAAATTGAAAAAATAAGGATTAATATAAGCAATGAAATATTTTATTTGCTGAAATAGGTATAATACTTAACTAAAAATTAAACAAATGTTTAATATCTCCTTCCATGAAACAGCAGCAGCAAGAGATAGCAAGTGTTCGGAAGTCTCTTCAATCCATGTTATTCTGATGACTCTTTGAAGAAAGAACTTGAACCTAAGTAATATGATACAATTATATTAGCTAAGAAGCATATTGTGAGTCTTTAGTAGCTTAATTATAACATCTTTAATAATAAATCTGTTTCATTGTAAGACTTCTCTTTCGGTTAAGTCAAATCTAAACAGTTATGTGAGTTAGCAACTACTCCTAAAGAATATGTCTTGAGTTTTCAGCTCTTTAGTAATGATAGTGAATTTTTCTCTCTTAACACTGTCAATTAAATAAAGACAATTTAATTTTAGGTTTGGCTTCATTGTATTTGTATTAATCTCAAAAGGTAGAAAACGCTTCTATAGAAAATATAGAAGGTTCTATTCTTTAAGGGAAAAAAAATACAAAATCTGTTTTACATGTACATCCTTTTCTATATACTTAAGTTATACAGCAACTTCTAATGACAATAAGCTGCATTTAAATTTGTGTTCTGGAATAAATTGCTAAAATCACCTCTGAACATGAAATCACTAGCAATAGAACAATATACAAGTATCAGTTTTAAGACATGGATTTGTGAATATGTCATTGCCACAAAGACATCAAAATGTCACTTAATTGGGCTTAGTCTGCCGTTAAATTAAGAGCACATCATTAACATATCTAAGTATGGTTCAAGTATACCACATCTGTTTTTATTTATTTTTTGAGATGGAGTCTCACTCTATCATCACCCTGGTTGGAGTGCAGTGGTACAATCTTGGCTCACTGCAACCTCCGCCTCCCAGGTTCAAGCAATTCTCCTGCCTCAGCTTCCCAAGTAGCTGAGACCTCAGGCACTTGCCACCACCCCCGGCTTATTTTTGTATTTTTAGTAGAGACAGGGTTTTGCCTCTCATTTTTGCCGCTATAACCTACTCTTATTTTAGTTACAAGGTTTTCCAATTTTTTTAAAAAAAGGTGTATACAGACAAACTTTTATAACTGTGACAACCTACTTGTACAGGAAGAAATTAGTCTTCCATCATTTATGAATATTTAACATTACTTCCTAAATTTTTGAGCTCTGTAAAGGATTTTCCTTTTAAGCCAAAGTATATATTGGAATGTAAATCATAAGTGCTATTCATCCTTGTAAGAAAATCCTTATTTGGGAAGTTTTACCAATAGTTAGAGGCAAAATAAGTACTCCAGTATTTTCTGTATACTTAATTCACATAAATATATATATTTTTTGCTTTTAAGAAATATCATCTTTTACTGTTTTCTTCAATATGCCTTTTTCTTGCCTAAAACAAATGTAACACATGTTCATTACTCCTTTTTCTGATTACTTCATCATATGGCATATGGTCTACTGAACTATTATATGAAATTAAAAATAGGGTCAGATGGGACTCTGAAGATTTGGATCCCCAGATCTTTGTGACAGTTCTAGTGGTATTCATAATGAGTAACCTAAATGCATTTAAATTAGAGTGGAAAGATAAGAATCAGTACCTAATGTACTTATTGGTTGAATAACTTTTACTTATTTTATCCCTTATCACATCAAATGAGTGTGTACTTGAAATAACTGGTTTCCTAAAGGGAAGATATTTTTTACCATGTTTTTCTAAGTTACTAATTTTCTTACATGTCAACTAACTTTTAGCTACTGTTTCATTTTTCATAAAAGGGAATATTTAACATTCACTTTTTGGTGACAATGAAATTTTAACTGAAAATATCAAGGAACAAGTTACCTTCAGTGTAAAGATTCATATGTTTTTCTGAATTGGTACAACAAATTCCTTTTATTAAATACAAACTTTATTTTTAAAATTCCTGTAGCTCTTTTAAATTCTAGTATACTAAAGCAAGTATTTTCTATTATAACATACTAATTAACATGCCTCTTTTGAAAAATGACTAGAATAAAAAAATTTCTTATAACATCACATGACTCAATAATTAAAATATTATAATCCATGCACTTAAGCAGTATTATGAGCTCACTTTTCAGTTTTTAGCAATCAAAGTAAGCACCCTCAAGATGGCTAAAATCCTTTATGTTCTAAATATTTATGTAATCCTTTGGTCATGAAAACCCTGTGTCTGATAAGTCTCAGAAACAAACTGCTACTTAGAATTACAGGGTTTCACTTTCTTGTCCTCAGGATTGAAATTTCTTTTTTTAGTTTCTAATTAATATGTAGAATGTATTATTCTGAGAACACCTGTGATAAATACAGTGGGGGCTTCATAACTGAAATAGACACAATGGAATCTGCAGGGTTTATGTTTTATATTCAAATATAACCTTATTTGATAGTATACTAGCCTCCTGCACAGGGGGATTTCCTTCACACATAGATTCCCCTAACTTCATCTCCTCTTTTCCTTGGGCTATTAGTCAGTCAATATGCTTGTGAACCTGTTCAGGAGCTTGATGACATGCAGTCTTGAATATATTTAGATGAAGGTGTCTTGAAATTTGCAGGCACAAAGCACTAAAGTATATCACCATATCAAATGAAGAAATGACCTTTAGAAGTAAAAAAGAAAATATAAAATGGATTATGATCTATCTTTTCTTAAGTAGCACAATTCTGTTTTTCCCTCAAATGTCAAAATGTAACCTAAAATTCTTCACCAAAAATACTACATTTTAAAGCACATTAATACATTTCATATTTGGACCTCACTGTAGTCTTCTGGAAAATGCAGGTTATTTCACAGTTATAGACACTGAGGCTCAGAAGTAAAAAAAGACTACTAAAAAAGATGACTAAAATACAGAAGCTAGAAAGTATTAGAACCCAAGTCTCCTGACTCAACCTTGTTTCAACTTTCTGCTGTGCAATGAAGCCACAAATTATCAGCCATCTTATAATGAACTAATTCCATCATATACATTTCTATTTCTTTGAGGTAAGTTGTAAGAAGGTAAAAGGTCTAGAAAAGATACCATACTTGAGGCATATACAAAATTGTGTTTTAAAATTTAAAGAGGGCCTCTATTTAGAAACTTTGCCCAGAGTCGACGGTCAAATGCTTCTCTTCAGAAAATGAAAGGCAGGTGAAATAGGAACCTCATAGCTCTACCCTTGGAGAGGGAATTCTCACCCATGAAGGGAAAATCTCTTATCATTTACTTTAAAAACTTACTCTGAAAGCACCATGTTTACCCCCACCTTGTGTGTGTGGCTTTTTTTTTTTTTTTTTTTTGTCATCCACATAGTGTTTTAAAGAAAAATTGAATTCGACTTCCTCAGTTTACCAGTCTCCGTCATGGGTGTAAACCAGGCCAATTACTTGTTACAGCAGATGCTTGATTTTTTTGTTTTTTTTTGAGACAGAGCCTCACTCTCTCACCAGGTGCCAGGCTGGAGTGCAGGAGTGCAACCTTGGCTTACTGCAATCTCTGCCTCCTGGGTTCAAGCAATTATCCTGCCTCAGCCTCCCAAGTAGCTGGGACTACAGGTGCACGCCACCATGCCCAGCTAATTTTTGTTTTAGTAGAGACGGGGTTTCACCACGTTGGTCAGGATGGTCTCGATCTCTTGACCTCATGATCCGCCCGCCTTGGCCTCCCAAAATGCTGGGATTACAGGCATGAGCCACTGTTCCCGGGAGATGCTTGATTTTTTTAACATCTGATATTTTAATTCAACAATTCTACTTGGTAATACATACCTAAGTTCACTAAAATAAAACTTACACTGAGTTTTTAGATATTTTGATTAATTACCCACTATTTTAAAACTGGATTGTTTTGGAGCCCTAAAAAATATTTATAGTGGATATTAAAGGTAATTATTCGGGTTTTTAAACATTTTTTAAAAAATTTTACCTGAAAATGTTCATTGTCCCACTCAAAGAATTAAGTATACCTCACTGCTACCATAGGAAGGACTTTTGAATGGACTGTGAATGAATATTAAGTCATTAACTTACTCCAGAAAGAACATACTACACAACCTAGTGAAAGATCATCAGATGTACTCCTGTAACTGATGCACAGAACAGATAAATTTTTTTTTTTTTTTTGAGACAGAGTTTTGCTCTTGTTGCCCAGGCTGGAGTGCAATGGTGCGATCTTGGCTCACTACAACTTCCGCCTCCCAGGTTCAAGCAATTCTCTTGCCTCAGCCTCCCAAGTAGCTGGGACTACAGGCATGTGTCACTATGCCTGGCTAATTTTTGTTTGTTTTTAGTAGAAACAGGGTTTCTCCATATTGGTCAGGCTGGTCTTGAACTCCCGACCTCAGGTGATCCACCTGCCTGGGCCTCCCAAAGTGCTGGGATTACAGGCATGAGCCACCGCAAATATCCAAATCTAACAAATATAGTGAGATTATTTGAATTATCAAAAGATTCGCCACAGGGTTTTGGTGGGTTTTGTTATTGTAGTATATTTATATATCACTCTGAATTTGGTGATGGCCAGTGGGATCTACAGAGAGAAATACAACAAAACTATTCAAAGCCACCATTAATTAAAGACCAACCATAAACATATGTCTCAGTAACAGAAAAAAAATTTAATAATTCTCCATTTATCCAACTTTGTAATTGAAGTGTTACCAATAATGATTTTCTTTTCCCTGGATGGCTAATGTGTCCCTCTCTAGCACTATAGTCTGTATTTTACAATCATTTTGAATAGAAATTAGTACATTTTGAATAGAAATCCACATCCTTAAGCAGGATATAATCAAAGAGAATTTAATTTGATTTATGACTGAATTATGATTAATACAAATTATGCACTATCTTCAAGGACCATACACATATAAAAGTTTCTTACATTTGGCATAAAATGGTCTCAGAATCCTGTACTTAGTAGCACTGTCTATTGTGTTTTGTCTCCTCAAATTCTTGACAATTCCTCAAATTGCTGATAATTCTCAATGCAATAAAATGCCTACCTTTGCTAGTACTAACCCCATCTAATTTTCCTGTTACCTGCTGTAAACTGGGAATATTCTAATAAGCCTGATTAAATAAAGTCAGAAAGTCCTTTGGGCACAGTAAAGTGGCGTTTGACATTTTTGCATTGGTTTTTGAGGGGAGAAATATATAGCTGTTTTTAGGTACACAGTTGTGTTTCCAAGAATCTAGGCTGTTGGAAACCTGGCCTATAGATATGTGGCCATTTCTACACACAATATAAAATTATTCACAGCTTATAAGAAGTAATTTCAAATACTCAGAAACATTTATTGTATATACTGTATAGACAAGATCTTTTTATTTTTTAATTTTTTTTTAATTTGTTTTTTTGAGACCGAGTCTCGCTCTGTCACCCAGGCTGGAGTGCAGTGGAGTGATCACAGCTCACTGCAAACTCTGCCTCTTGGGTTCAAATGATTCTCCTGCCTCAGCCTCCCAAGTAGCTGAGATTACAGGCATGCATCACCACACCTGGCTAATTTTTGTATTTTTTGGTAGAGAAAAATAGGGTTTCACCATGTTGGCCAGGTTGGTCTTGAACTCCTGACCTCAAGTGATCCACCTGCCTCGGCCTCCCAAAGTGCTGAGATTACAGGTGTGAGCCACTGTGTCTTTTATAGACTAGATCTTGAGGCTACTGATATCTCACTGAAATGATTCTTAAGCATTGTTAAAAAAAATAAATAAAATGCAGAATAAATACTTACCATTGCTATCCACAGAACAACATATTCGTCTATAAAATTATTGAAGTACTGGTCTAAAAACAAAAGACCTGGCCCCAAAAAGACAGTGTCTTGAAGGTGCAGTTCACTTTTGGTCATGTGAGCTATCTATAAAAATTAAACAAAATAATTTTATTATTAAGTTTTAAATGTGTTAGTTTTTATTTTTAAGACAGAATTAATTATAACTTTAATTCAGTATTAAAACAGACCTTTTAATCTCACATTTGATATAAAAATACTTTTCTACATCTTCTCAAATTCATGACTGGATACTTATTAAAGTTTCCAATGTTTAAATTCCTTGATAACAGAAAGTTGTAAATGATAACTACAGCTAAACAATTAATTTAACTGAATATAACATAACTCCTATCACAGTTTTGCTTGGAGCACAAATAGCTAATTATTATGATTTTGACACCACAAAAGAAAACCTACACATTGTATGAAATAATTTCCAACTTTGTCTTTGAGGACTAAGTACATTATTTATATCATGAATCATAAAAATTTCTTACCACTAATTTTTGTGAGACTTTAGCAAAAACACATCCAAACATTAGGGTATAAAGACAAGGATGTTTTTCAAACACATCAGTTGCTGACTTTTTATAGATCATTATTGCCAATATAATAATTAGTCCTATGTGGAGTCCAGGTGACAAGACACTGGTGCCCTAAGGGATAAAGCAGAAAATAAGTATCACATTTTAACACTGCATTTATTACAATGCAGATATTTTCTAATAATCTATTTTGTGCAAGAGACCTAAAGAACAGTGTGTGATGTAGTGTATGGCCTACAGGAGTATGCAAACCTTAGTTGTGCTTTTCAAGCTTTCATAGAACCTGAGGGTGACAGAGACATAATACAGTGCCACACATGTCTGATTCCAGTTTGATATTCACACACGTTTTAAACTGGCTAAAAATTAATGCAGTTTATTCTTCAACTTTTACTATGTTGAAGGCCATCCACATGTATATTGCCAAATTAACATATTTTTGTGGAGATATTGAAATAAAGCTTATTCTGCCAATTCTGCAAAATATCACTGATTAAGAAGAGTTTAGTTCTATCCAGGTTTCCCTTTTTTCCCCCTATATTCTTCTTATTATTATTACTATTATTTGTGTTTTTAGTAGAAACAGGGTTTCCCCATGTTGCCCAGGCCAGTCTGGAACTCCTGGGCTCAAGCAATTCTCCTGGTCTCAGCTTCCCAAAGTGCTGGGATTATAGGCGTGAGCCACCACGCCCAGCCCATCCTAGTTTCTTTCTACACCAACATCCCCACCTCCTTTTTTATTGCATTCAGACTGCAGGTGTTCTTTTATGTAAAACTGTACAATCTAGATTATTACATTTTTATCTATGTGAATCAGTATCCTCTCAGCACTGCTTATCCTAAACAAAATATTGAAATAAGTTTAGTATTGAGGTTATTAAATCTATAACCAGTTTAAATGGGTTCACAAGAACAGCTTTATTCTTGTTTATTAAATGTACATGTTTTAAGGTAGAGTTTACTATAAAGTTACAGTAACAGTATAATACAAAATTTTTTCATAAGATACTATACAGTAATAAATTATAAAAATCTAATAGCACTTTATATTATGGTTCTTAGATTTCACTCAAGAAAAAAAATCTGCTCCTAAAAAAGAAAAACACCAGTTTAAGAGTTTGAAACCAACCACTTTCTAACTTGTGTTTAAGTCATCCTTCAAACATCTAACAGTTATTTTTTACGAAAATATTCTCTAGAGTAGACAATGATCATACTAAATCTTGCTTTCTTCAGTGGAATTTACATTCCAACTAATGATCTATGTTATCATCCATGGTCAAGCAACATGTATTCCTAAGCACAGTAATATATTGAGATCAACTGACAAAACACCCCAAAAAATGACAACTTTTCCAAATATATCAGAACTTATATATTCTAGATAAATTGTATACTTTGCTTTCGAATTATGTATATAAAATGTATTCATAAATATTGATAATTTATGAATTATGAGGATCCCTTTGAGATTGTCTTGAAAATCAATTTATAAGTCTTTTAAAAGAATTGAGACTCTTTTTTCTAAAAATGCTATATCTAATGCCCTAAAAAAGGCATTCTAACAATGTTTTGGTATAAGATGCTATCACTGGAAGTATTTGTCTTCTTCTGTTCAACTACCTTGAAAATGATAACAGACTTTTAAAAAACGTAAGTGTTGTATTTGTTTAAAAAGTTGGCAGGAATCCCAACTTTTTCCCGCTTAAAAGTACTGAAGTTTTTTCTAAAAAATGAATACAAAAGTTTATATGTAATACTTGCATGAGCAAGGTGTAAAGAACACAGCACAAAGTATATCCACTTAAGAATTAAGGTTAACAATTTTACCTTTTGAAATATTAGAATAGTTCTTTTAAATATATTTCAGTGAAACTTCAATAAAATTTATGTGATGAGTAATAAATTACCCCATATGTGAAACCATGGACCTCTGGCTGCTTTCCTGCCTTCAATTAGAAACTCATACATTCCCTACTCTTCCTCTTATCCCCTATTAGTTCAAGGCATAAAATGCAGGAAAACAAATGGCAACTCCTAATTATGTGCAGTAATGAAAACTAGATGTCAGAAAAGCCTATGCAGAGCAAGGCTGTAGAAAGAGGAAAACATTTTATCAGTCTAAACTATTTTTAAACTGCTTTTGTATTTATGTGCCTAAATTGAATTTTTTAAGATACTTAGTTTCCTTCCCTATTCTTGAACTTTGGCTTATTTTAATCTTAAAGCTGGTGATAGGAAATTTTATTATAAAATTAATAATTTATATATAAAATTAGTAATTTATTATAAAATTAATACTGAATGATGACATTAATGCCTTACTGCTATAGTGGATCCATTCTTGCCAACACCACCATGGAGGATAACGTGGAAATAATTTGAACAGGAAAATATTACTCCACCTAGTACTCCAAGAACTGGAAGGATCTTCAATTTTATTTCTAGAATGGGAATCTTTAGGAGTAGAAGAAAGAAACAAATAATTAGGACAACAGAATTTTGTTTTTTTATTAAATAATAAAGAAACATAATGATAAGCCCTGTACAATAAGCTACGCTTTTCTTGTGATCAAACCTTAACTTCTGGAATACAGTCCAAAGTGATAACTTAAAAACTTTAAAAAATTTTTTTAGTTTTGAAATTTTTATTATTTTCTTCAGACTAGTCAAGTGCAGTAGTGATGGCTGAAAAGAGAAGAGCAAGGAGTTCGATCTGTAACCGTGAGCAATCATTTGTGATAACTGACTACCTTTGGACAGTCTAAAGTCACTTTTTTTGAAACTGCTTTATTCATAAGTGAAAAATGAATCTGTAACTATGATTAAATGTGTAATCTCATAAGCTTTCATCTGACTTAAACGTGAAAAAGGATAGTTCACTTGCATTTAGTAGCTTCTAAAAAGTAGCATCACAGGAAATGGAGACACTATGATCTACATCATAAATATAACAAATATGATGTGTATACATGCAAAAAATCTGTGTAGTTAATATTCAGGATTAAATCTCTAGCAATATATTTACCTGTTGGTCAATTGCTGTTCAAGAAAACTTCCAAAGGCAGCAAAGGATTTAAAAAACAGTAACAATGAATTGCCAGAAGCTATAGGCTACTATGTTTAGAAAACAGACTGAAATAATATACCAAAATTTGTGGAAACTACAGGTTAATAATTAAATTTAGAAAACCTGAATCAAAATCAAGTATTCTTGTTGGTAAGAATAAGCAGGTATGTTTTCTTCCTATGATACTGCCAAAACATTGAGCGAAACGATTTTAAGATTCAATTCCAGATTTAAGACAATCATACCTGACTTAATAACTAGAGTTGTCAAACTGCTTCTAGGTCTACATTTCTTTTCTTTTCTTTTCTTTTCTTTTTGAGATGGAATCACTCAGGGCAGGAGTGAAGTGGCATGATCTTGGCTCACTGCAACCTCTGCCCCCCAGGTTCAAGTGATTCTCCTGCCTCAGCTGGGCTTACAGGTGCTTACCACCACACCTGGCTAATTTTTGCTATTTTCAGTAGAGATGAAGTTTTGCCATGTTGGTCAGGCTGGTCTTGAACTCCTGACCTCAGGTGATCCACCCGTACATTTACGTTCTTATGGGCACAACCTGAACAGTCACTATAAAAAACACATACCCTCCCTCTGGTATCTTATATGGGTCTATAGTAGCATATCCTTGATTCTATTTATTCTTACATGATGAGAGAGACCATCAATGTACTGCGGAATGTATCACTACTACTTGAAAACATCCCCAAGGTCTATTTTGGAGCCTCCTGACAAATGATAATTGGCAATTCTGATACTAAATGCTACAGGGAACTCTTTAAAAAAAAAAAAAAAAAAGAGGAGGGGTCTTGCTCTGTCACTCAGGCAGGAGTGTAGTCAGTGGCATGATCATGGCTCACTGTAGCCTCCAATTCCTGGGCTCAATCAACCCTCCTGCCTCAGCCTCCTGCGTAGCTGGGATTACAGGTGCATGCTACCATGCCCAGCTAAAATTTAAAAGAATTTTTGTAGAGACAAGGTCTTGCTATGTTGCCCAGGCTGGTCTTGAACTCCTGGCCTCATACTGTCTTTTTAATGGAGTTAATTTTTTAGAGTGGTTTTAGGCTTGCAACAGAATTTGAGTGGAAAAGGATATAGCCACCCCTTCCCCTGCCAACAACATCCTACACCAGAGTGGTACATTTGTTACAAGTAGTGAACCTACATTGACACATCATTATCACCCAAAGTTCATAGTTTACATTAGAGTTCAATCTTTGTGTTGTACATTCTATGTGCTATGACAAATGTATAATGACATGTAGCCACTATTTAGTATCATACAAAATAGTTTTACTGCCCTAAAAATTCTCTGTGCTTCACCTATTCATCTCTTCCTCCTCCAACCCCTGGAAACTTCTTTATCATTTTACTGTCTCTATAATTTTGCATTTTTAAAGAATGTCATACAGTTGGAATCACACAATATGCAGCCTTTTCAGATTGACTTATTTCTCTTAGTAATAAACATTTAAGGTTCCTTCATAACTTCTTGGAACTCCATAAGTTCCTTGCATAACTTCTTTTCATGGCTTGACAGCTCATTTCTTTTTAGCATCATTTATCCATTCACCTACTGAAGGACGTCTTAGTTGCTTTCAAGTTTTGGCAATTATGAATAAAGCTGCTATAAACATTTGCATACAGGTTTTTCTGTAGACCTAAGTTTTCAAATCATTTAGGTTAATAACAAGGAGTGTGACTGCTGATCATGTGGTAAAAGTATGTTTAGTTCTGTATCATTTACTATTTTTACTAGATATACAGCTTAGTGATTACATACAGTCTGAAATCAGACTGTTTAATTCCTAGCTCCAGTACTTCTCATGTGTCCTTGGACAAATTACTTAATTACCCTAAGACTTATTTATAAAGCAGAATAATAAAAATATCTATTTCATAGGATTCTTCTGAGGGGCAGATAAAACTGATGGCAAGTGTTTAGGAGCATAAGTATTGAATGACCTAGTTGTTGACTCTTAATACCCTTATTGTTGTTCTTAACACTATGAGCAGAAAGTGTTGAGTCAGTTAGCCTGTATAGTGGACTTAAGTTGTGATAAGAGGACAATTGTTCCTTCAGAAATGTTCTTTTGCAAAAAAAGCTTAAATTTATGACAGTGGCCTCCCAAAAGCCAACTTTTATGAAAATACTGAGGTCACCAACTGGGCAGAAAATAAAAACGTTCCTTAATATGGAAATCTTTACCTCAAAGTAGATTATAAAAATGCAACTGAACTACTTTCCTAATATTGAGGGACAAGTTTTATATGTAAAATATTTTACTGGATTTATTTTTTAAATATATATTTTATTTCACCCTGGAAAATGTTATTCCAATGTGGGTTTTTTGTTTTGTTTTTGTTTTATTTGGTATTAGGGAAATGAGGTTGTTTTCTTCCATGTGGCAATACATTCATGCACAGGAGAAAATGCCATAAGGCATACAGGATAATACACATTATAAAAGAAAAAATGTTAAGACATGGAAAAAATATTAAATACACCAATAAAAAAAGAAAAAAATTAAATACAATGCTAAGGATTTGTGAAAAAAATTAACATGCAATACTTTTTTCTAAATACTTTAAAAGTACTTAAATATAAATTTAAATATTCGCATTTACCGTATAGTCCCACATTGTTGCTCCTCCAAATGCAGATAACACAAAGACAATCACTAAAGCTATCTGAATTTCAGTTACATCCACTCTAAAAGAGGAAGGACAAAGAATAGATAAGGCATTTGTAAATAAAATTCCTGAATATGGAGGTTAATCACATATTAAATAGCGAAGATGTAAAAATCTCTAAAGGCTTAGTTTATTTTTACCTTTAATTCCATTATTGAATTATCAGCTGACTACATTGTTAAGTTAAAAAGGTTACAGAACAATTTGTGCCCACTCATAGATAACAGTACAGGCAGAAAGAAAAACAACATATACCATACATCAAATTGCTAATAGTTATCACTGAAGTTATGAAGACTTTTATTTTCTACTTTATGTACCCCTGTAATATCTGAAGTTTTTTCTACAACAATTACTTACTACTCTTGAACATAATAAAAAAATATAATAAAAACAACCATACGATTTAAGGCAAATTTAAATATTCCCAGGTCAGTTTCACTTAAAAAGTAGTGAAAATTCCAAGTCTTCTTTATTGAGGTACTAATAGTCATTATAGTTTTTCAGTTTCCATAGACATTTTCCCCCTAATTAACATGTTTAAATTTCTCAAAAAACCACTAACCAACCAACATCAGTCCCTCTAGTCTGCATTCCCCTGAAGCTGTCACTCTCTTTCCTATGCTCCACGAATAGGCTCACTGAAAATTAGTCAACATTTGTAATTTTCTCCTCTCTTTGTATTTGCTGTTTAACCCACTGTAGTCTGGCTTTTGGCCCCATTATTCTACTAAAATTGTTAAATTGACCTTCAATTTTCAATTTCAATTAAGGGATACAAATCTAAGGGATACATTTCATTAATTATCTTGCATAACTTCTTTATAGTATTTAAGATGCTAATCATACTCTCTTTCTTGAAAAGCTCTGCTGTGCTTTTATCTATTCCATGTTCTCTCCTGATTTTCCTACCTTTCTGGAGCTCTTCTCACGCTCCTTCCTAGACTGCCCCTTCATCTATATCTTAAATGGTGCTTTCAGAATTCCATCTGGAATTTTATAGTCTGTGAAGAATTTTATCTATACTTAAAACTACCTTCTATATGCTAATGACCTCTAAATCCTCATCTCCAATCTACATTTTTTCCTGAGCTCCAGATTTTTATATCTGTCCACATACTTTACATCTCTGCCGGATGCTCCAACGTCTTTAGATGGAGGCAATACCAGCCTTACAGGGTAAATGTGAGGAATAAATAAGATAATCCATGTGAAGCACTTTGTACAATGCCTGAAATATGTAGGTGCTCGATCGCTGGTAAATACAATTATGCCATGATTCAGAATCAACTGCCTGAAGCCTGGCCCTCTGCTTAATGATGCATAGTTTTGAGCTTCTTCTGTCATTTATCATTAGAGATTTTTTTCAAAGCTACAGTTTCTCCTTTTCAGCAATAAAGTGGGGCTAAAAAGAATCAGTAGACATGGGAAGCCAAAGCCAAGAATAAGCTTGTTCTTAAAAGGATGACAAAAAATGACAAAGTTCTTAAAAGGATCGGACCGAGAGGGAGCTATATGAGAAAGAGGAACAGAGAAGAGCATTCCTGCTTTGTGTACTATTTCCTGGTCTCTGAGAAAGATGCACCAGAGGCAGATAATACTATCTAATGGTTAGCACCAGCATTCACAAGGTGCCTTTACCTTATCTCACCAATTGTCTACCACAGCTGAGAGTCTCACGATTACCTGTTGCTGGTGACTGTTGTCAAGGGAGGGTCCCCTTTTTGTGCACATGAAGATTCGACCAAAAAAGGACCTTAGACTCCATACTGCTTTATTTTATGATATGAATCAAATGCTTATTTAAGTACTGCATATCCTTTTTCTATATTATTCAGGTCCCTTAATTTTCTTTTTTCCCTCTCTATTGTAAACTTGGGCTAGTGATTAAGTTGGAGAAGGGGAGAAGAGAAATAAAATTATTATCAAATAATGTAACTATAACATGCAGAATACCTAAAAGACTTAAAGTATAGCATTTATAGATACTCCAATGAATTAATTTAAATTACTGATTGATGCTTTGTTCTCTTTATTATCGATGAACGATGTAACAGATTGTGAAAATGAATTCAATTATATTTTAAAATGCACAACTTAAAAAACACACTTACTTTCCAAATCTCAACACGCCTGAAACATAAGTCTGCCAATGAGCACAATAAAACACAAACATCCCAATAAAAGAGCAGAAAAACAACCAGTCAGGATGAGTTCCTAAGCGAGCAGCAATTGAAGCTCCCACTGCCATAAATACTGAAAGAAACAAAGTTTAAGAACCATTAAGAATTAAAAATAATTTATAAAATAATTGCCCTATGCTGTTTACAAATACAGAGTTTTAAGGAAATAATCATGGCATTAAAATAAGGTACACTTATCAAAAAGAATTCTTGGACATATTTTTTAAACAACTGCATTATTTGCTTCCAAATGTATCCACCCAGAAAACTGACCATTCAAACAGCTCAGTTCATTTTGTTTCTAAGGTATCATTTAAAAAAAACTTCAATAATTTACCTGTGGAAAGAGAGTCACAACCATGGTCAAAGAGTTCCCCTAAAGGAGAACAAGAATTTGTTCTTCTGGCTTGTTTTCCATCAATAGCATCCAGTGACTGGTAGATAAAAAGTCCCAGTGCACATAAAAGGTATGCCCAGTATGGTGCCTATAAAATATGTAAATAAAATAAAGATTGTTACGTGATAATAAGCTTTTTGAAAATAGCTCCACCTAAGGCTTTGAACTTTGTGTTTAAAGAACATTCCTAACCCTCATTCTACAGATGAGAATTAAATTCAGAAATCAAATTAATTGCTTTAAGACATCTAAGTAGAGGGTCACAGAAGTCCATAATGTGAGAAGCACAAAGTTAAATGACTGAACACGGATTAGGCCCCTGATCTTGATTCCTACATCCATGGCTCTTTCAATATAATACTGTGCATATGTGCCACAGATTTGAAATTACTCATTCAATTTTTACTGTAAAAAAAGACCTTAGGGGCCAATTGCCGACCTCTACTTCCACTCATGGTGGAGTAACAGGGACTAGATTTAGTCCCACCTTACATAACTAGAAAGGCAATAAAATATATGAAAAAAACGTTTTCAGACATTATAGGCAGTGCAGGCTTGTGATCCCTGTTTATTTGAGTAAACAAATGAGATAAGCCCTGCGACTGCACCAGCTAACTTCCCAGAGTCAGTTTCCAGGCCATAGTGCAGGAATGGGACCAGAACAGAGTCCAGCAATCTTGCTGTGTTGAAGAGAAACACAAGGTCAGGAAGGACAAGGCAGTTAGGATTTGTAAAGCAGAGTACCTGTGAGGACAGAGTTGCACAGAGGGAGGAACACAAGTTGTGGAGGCCTTACAGAAGGGTATCTCTCAGTCTTTGGCTGAGAATTCACCTGTGCCTGAATGAGACAAAACTAACAAAGGCCAGGGAAGGAAGCACTGCAATGCAGAAGGTAAGACAATTCTCAAAGCTCATACAAGGCTGGGACATTCATGCTCCTGCCAGGCAAAGCAGAAAGCCTCATTAACACTTGGGACATTGGGTAAAGTTCTCAGAATCAGCAGGCATAAATTAACCCTAGACTGAAGGCTTCTCTGGACAGCTTCCCTAACGAAACTTAAAATCCAGCCTCAAAAGGATTCAAGTAATTCCTGGCAACTTAACTGCAGCCAGCACATAGTACGTCTTAGGGGAAAAAAATCTAGTATTTCCAAATGTAAAATTCACAAGGTTTGGCATTCAGTAAAAAATTACCAGTAATGCAAAGAAGCAGGAAAATATAATAGACAACTAGGAGTAAAATCAATATAATCAGAATGTAATCAGAATCAATATGAACAGAAATAATAGAATTAGCAAATGAGGACATCAAAATTTTTATTATAAATATGCTCCACATGTTCAAGAAAGTAGAGGAAAACATGAACATTATAAGCAGAAATGGAAGAAAAGACTCAAGTGAAACCTCTAGAAATGAAAAATACAATATTTGAATTGTAAAATAAACTGAGTGATATCAACAGCATATTAGATATCACAGAAGATCAGTGAGCATGTACCAATATACTACCAAGGGAAACTATCCAAAATGACGGAAGAAAAACGACCTAAAAATAATTGAACTGTGCATCAGCAAGCAGTGAGACAACAGAAAGCAGTCTAGCGCATAAGCAACTGAAGTCTTAAAAAAAAGAGCGAATGGGGCATGACAAATATAAAAAGAAATAAAGGATGAAAATTTTCCAAAGTTGATGAAATTTATAAACCCACATGTCCAAGAAGCTCAACAAACCCCAAACAGAATAAATATTTTTTAAAACTCCACCAAGGCACATCATAATCAAATCAATGAAAACTAGTAAGGAGAAAATCACAGGTCAGGCACAGTGGCTCACGCCTATAATCCTATCACTTTGGGAGATGAAGTTTGGGCAGATTGCTTAAGCCCAAGAATTCAAGACCAGCCTGGGCAACATGGTGAACCCCATCTCTACAAAAAATATAAAAATTAGCCCAGTGAAGTGGCGTACGCTTGTAGTTCCAGCTACTTAGGAGCCTGGGGAAGTCAAGGCTGCAGTGAGCAGTGATGGTGTTACTGCACTCCAGCCTGGCTGACAGAGCGAGGCCCTGTTTCAAAAAATAAAATAAATAAAATATCAAATTCAGTTCAATAAGCATGATCTCAAAAGTTTATGCTGGAAACTATGAAACAATTTAAGAAAGGGTAAACAGAAAACTGAACAATCATCATGACAGTATAAAAATGAAAAACAACACATCCCACCTAGAATCTTTTGAAAGAATCCCAAAGTGTTTTGCAGAGAACAATTCTGTTAACTCTTTTCAAACTAGTAAATTCTTTTTCAAAGATACACTTTATTATGTATACAACATGATGTTAAGGGATATGAAGATAGACATGGTACTATACTGAAGCAAATTCACATATCCATCATTTCCATAGTTACCCATTTTTTTGTTTTTGTGACAAGAGCAGCTAAAATGTATTCATTTTACAGTTCAATTTTTTTTTTTTTTTTGAGATGGAGTTTCACTCATGTTACCCAGGCTGGAGTGCAATGGCGCGATCTGGGCTCACCGCAACTTCCGCCTCCTGGGTTCAGGCAATTCTCCTGCCTCAGCCTCCTGAGTAGCTGGGATTACAGGCACGCACCACCATGCCCAGCTAATTTTTTTTTTTTTGTATTTTTAGTAGAGACGGGGTTTCACCATGTTGACCAGGATGGTCTCGATCTCTTGACCTCGTGATCCACCCGCCTCGGCCTCCCAAAGTGCTGGGATTACAGGCTTGAGCCACCGTGCCCGGCCCAGTTCAATTTTTTTAACCTATACCCGTCAGGTTGTGCATTAGATCTCTAGACCAGCTCATCTTCCCAAGCTGTAATGTTGTATCCTTTGACCTGCCTCTTCTCATTTCCTCCTCTTTATCCCCCTCTGCTCCTGATTGCCAGTTTTGTTCTCTGTCTCTGAATTTTTTTTCAGATTCCCTGTATAAGTGGGATCAAGATCACACAATATTTCTCTTTCTGTATCTGGCTTGTTTCACTTAGCATAATGTCTTCCAGGCTCAATCATATTGTGGCATTTGGCAAGATTTTGTTTTTTTTAGGGCTCGATAATATTCCATTGTGTATACTAAAGTTTCTGTTTCTTTATCCATTCATACGTCAACACTTAGGCTGTTTCTGTATTTTGGAAATTGGGAATAATGCTACAATGAACATGGGAGTACAAATATCTTTTTAAAGTGGTGATTTCATTTCCTTTGGTATAGTTTTATAATTTTTGTTCTTATATTTAGGTATTTTAACCATTTTGAGTTTATTTTTGTATATGGTATAACATAAGGTCCAATTTCATTCTTTTGGCATATGGAAATCATTTTCCCGGCATCATTTATTGAAGAGACTATCCTTTCCCCATTGTGTCTTCTTGGTGCCCTTGTCAAAAATTAGTTGACCATATCAAACTAGCAAATTCTTACCCATTTTTTCTACTATTAGAAATTATTTTTAATTTTGATGATCAAAGGAAAGCAAAGTTACATGTCAAACATGTAAAATTGGAAGTTGAAGTTATTAAAATTCGTAACGACAAAATGTCAGAGGGACCTTCCATTTCTCTTAACTCCTTATACTGAAAATCTGGAGCTTCTCAAGGAAAACTCTAAAAGTTTAAAACTCTAAAACATTAAAAGCTTAATTCTGACCTCTGATCTGAGAAACTAGCTGCAAGCAGGTCTAATGGTTAGGTATTAACAGAAATTCATACGGAAATAAATTTGATTAACCCTTATACCACAGCTGGAAGTGACTCTGCCCCAAACTGTAACCTGCTCTTCATTTAGAAAAGGGAAATGAAGACTGTTTACCATTTAAAATGACTTCATTAGGATACTAGAGGCATTAAAATTTACAGTTTAAACAGGGAGAGACTGGGAGTTTAAACAGGAAAGAGAGGAAGTCCAGGGAGAAACCAAGGTTTCTGGCTGAAAGTGAAAGGTTTACTGGAGTCAGTGACTATATCCATGTTCCTGGAATAGATAATTTACAAGAGATAATATTGCAAAGGTAATGTGATCTTAAACAGTACAACAAAGGGCATTTCTTTTCTTTCCTTTTTTTTTTGTTCTTGAGACAGGGTCTTCCTCTGTCACCCAGGCTGGAGTGCAGTGGAGGATCTTGGGTCATTGCAACCTCCACTTCCTAAATCCAAGCAGTCCTACCCCTTAGCCTCTCAAGTAGCTGGGGTTACAGGCGTGTACCACCACGCCTGGCTAAATTTTTGCATTTTTGTATTTTGTGTTTTATATTTTTGTATTTAGACCGCATTTCGCCATATTTCCCAGGGTCCAACTCCTGACCTCAATTGATCCACCTGCCTCAGCCTCCCAAAGTGCTAAGATTATAGGCCACAGTCCCGGTTGACAAAGGGCATTTCTAATGTCTTATTTTATTTGATACCGAAATCCACAGAGACAGGGCAGTTATTATCATTTTCTTTTTATTAAAGATGAAAGTGAAACATATGGAAGAGTGATAATTTACATCAAGGCAAGCACTTAGGCTGGGTCCAGGAACTAGATCAGGTCTTCAGACTTGCCCTTTGATGAGATTTATCCTGCCACAGGCCACACGGACTGAATGGAACTCTTCACCTGAATTCTCAAAAACTCCCTATTCCATCAAACCTGCTGAGAAGCACTTTCCCCCTCACACAATTCAATTTCAAGTGGCAGTGAGCCACAGCAAATGATCTTCCAATATCTGGTTCACTCCTTTTCCAATTCTGCCCAAATCTTTCCAAGTTTTCCCAGTCTTCCCAAGGCCTCAGGAGCCAGACCTATCTTCTCTTTTCCCTTCGGTCATTACCTCCATTCCTAGCTAGAAGATATTAAATAGTTTGCATTTTCTCTCTTTCTTTCTAACTTGTTATCCCTGCAAACAGGTTGGGATTTATTTGGCCAGGCACAGCAGAACAACTTCCTTCCAGATGTCCCTTTCCAAAACCAGTACAATTATAGTAAAGACTGTTTTTTTTTTTTTTGTTTTTTTTTTTAAAGACACAAGGTTTCATTCTGTCACCCAGGCTGGAGTGCAGAGGCACATGCTATAACCTCAGACCCCT